AAACGATTTGATCTAGTGTGTATGATCCATTTTCTTCTTTGCATATTTGCATGGATAAGATCTGGCTTGCAGGACCTAGGTCCTTGACATTGAACCTTTTCTTGATACTTTCCTTGAATTCATTTATCTCTGGCATGTTTCCAATTATCAGAAGGTCATCAACATAAACTCCAATTATGATGTTCTTCGCATGACAAAAGTAAATATAAGGGTCTGCACTTGATCTTTTCAATCCATACTGGATCAGGAAGTCGTTCAAGCAAGTATTCCATGCACGTTCTGATTGTCGGAGACCATAAATGCTTTTCTTCAGGTGTTCTCTCCCTTTCTCAATGCAGCCTTCTGGCTGTGCCATATATATGTCCTCTTTTAGAATTCTATTAAGATATGCAGCTGTCACATCCATTTGGTGAACCTCTAGCCTTTTCTCTGCAGCTACGGCAAGCAGTAACCTTATAGATTTAAGTTTGATGACTGGTGAAAAGGTGTCTTGAAAGTCCACTCCAGGTATTTGCAAATAGCCTTTTGCTACCAATCTGGCTTTGAACTTTGATCGGTTCCCAATCTCGTCTTTTTTCTTACGAAACAACCATCTGGATGGTATTACTTTAGCTCCTTGTGGTTTAGTAGTTAGTTCCCATGTTTGAGCTTGAGTGAGGTTCTGGATTTCTTCCTCCATGGCTTTTAACCATATGTCAGCTTCAGGGGATTTCAGGACATCTTTTAGAGTTACTGGGTTCTTTTCTTCAGATTTTTGTATCTCTTGGGCATCGTACAGATAAAAATCTTCGAAACGTTTGGGAATTCTGGTGTTTCTTTTTTCACCTCTCTCACTCCCATGAGTAGGATTTTTGGCTGCTGCTTCGACTTCAGGGTCTAGGCTGTTAACAATATCTTATATCTTTGTAACTGATTGGCCTTCATTTTCGTAATCTGGAGTAATATCAAGCTGTAGGTCTGGACATCCATCAGAATTTTGGTCAATGGGATCTGTATTTAGTTGTTGGGTTCCCTCCAAGTCATTTACATCAGGAGTTACGTGATCTAGAGATGAGTCACGAGATTCTGTTTCAGATAGATCCAAGGGATATTCTGATTCAAAGTCTTCAGTTTTAAGAGTAGCTTCTTCTGCAGGATTGTCCCACTTGCTTTAAGGGGGAAACATTTTCTTCAAAAATGACATCTCTGCTGACCAAAAAAAATGTTTCTTCTTCAGGTCATACAATTTGTAGCCCTTAACTCCTTTAGGATAGCCCATAAAAACACATTCTGTGGCTTTAGGATCAAGCTTGCTTCCTCTTGAGTGTGAGCGAACATGACTCCAAGCTCTTCATCCGAAAACTCTGAGGTGGTCTGTTTCGCTTCCAGAACCTGACCATCTTTCCTCTGGAATATCGCCATCAATTGCCAAAGATGGGCGCTTGTTGCGGAGATAGGCAGCAGTGGCCATTGCTTCAGCCCAAAACCTGTGATCTGCTCCGTACTCTATAAGTAAGTATCTTGTCGTGTTTATCAATGTTTGGTTCAGTCTTTCTGCCAGACCATTTTGTTCGCGTGTGTCAGGTACAGTTAGTTATCTTTGGATCCCATGCGCAGTGAAGTACTTGTCAAACTTTTCACTTATATTCCCTACCATTGTCATTTCTCAGGTATTTGATTTTTCTGTTTTGGAGATTTTGTACCATGCAACGGTACTCCTCAAATTTTTCTAGTACTTCACTTTTGGCTTTCATAGAGAATGCCGTGGTATAGTGAGAAAATTCATCCGTGAAAGTCACAAAGTAATAACTACATCTGAATGTATAACTTCTAGGATGTCTTTAGCTTTTGTACTAGCGGCCTTTGGAAATTTCTTTCTTTTCATTTTTCCCTGTATACAGACTTGGCAAGGTGCATTTACTAATACTGTTGATTCCAGGTTTCTGCCGATGGGGATAATATTTTTTGTTGTACAAGAGTGTGGATGACCAAGTCTACGGTGCAGCAAGTCGGCACTTTCAGGTTTCTTAACATAGGCGGTTGTCATCTTTTCTTCGATTGTGTACAGGCTTCCTTTTTTCTCACCAGATAGAAGAGTGTCTCCAGTCTTACCAATCACTTTGGATTTTTCCTTCAGCAAATTCTACTTTTAAGTTTCTTTCTTCAATTCTACCAATGGATAATAGATTTTCTCCTAGTTCTGGAACATATAGGACATTTTCAATAGTGAAATTTTTTCTCCATCTTCTTCTCCAACAGAAAATGAAATATTTCCAATTCCAATGACCTTTTTCTTTCTGAATTAGCAACTTCAATTTCAGGTGTGTACTTCTTAAGGTCTGAGAATTTTCTGTTATCAGAGGTCATGTGTTCTGTAGCTCCGCTGTCTAAAATCCACAGATTATTTTTCTTCGTTTGCCAGAAGTGCAATGTTTGTCTTGAGGTCAACTGCAGTTTTGGTTCTGATATTTGGCCTCTTCACAATTTTTAGAGATGTGCCCCATTGGCCACAAACTGAAGCATTTAGTATTTCTTCCTCTGTTAGTTTCTTCTTCATTTGGCCTTTTAGCTGCATACTTCTTCACGGGTTTTCCAAATGCAGGCTTCTTCTGATTGGTGGCAAAACATTTAGTGTGAACAGCTTATTCTTCATGATACACTTTGGCTGAACTTTCATTTCTAACTATACGTTTCTCTTCTACAAGTAGCCTTGGTTTCACAATCGTAGTTGTCAGATTCGCTTCGTCTTTTTCCAAACTTAGGATGAGCGATTCATAACTTCTAGGCAGTCCCAATAGCATCACTAGGGCCACTTCTCCATCTGTGAATGCATATCCACCATTCGATAATTTTCTATGTAAGTCCATTAATCTTGCTAGATTGGACAGACTCATTTCGCTTCATATTTATGTTAAAGAATTCTCTCATAAGTTGCAGTACGTGAAGCAAACCAAATTTTGTATGCATTTCTTTTAAACAGTTCCAGGCGTCTCTGGCTCTAACACAATCTCCGATATCATCTAAAAATGTATCTTCAACTATGAGGAATAATAGGGTAAGAGCTTCGTCATTCTTTTTCCTCTCCGCTTCCCAACATCTCTTCTGCACCAGCACAGCACGCGAACGGATACACTATGTGTGATAATTGTCGCCGTTTAGTTTCGGCATTTTATAATCTTCGGATGTCATTCTTCAAGTAAATATATGAAGCTCAATTCACCAGAAAAAAAAAATTATTTACTTCGTTAAAGGATGGTTATCCAGCTCACTTCAGATTCACAACGTGGTTAGGTTTCGGTGCGATCTTCAATCTTGTATCGTTATGGCATTTCCTTTCGAGCTTCGTGCTGATAACGTATTAAAATTTAAATTATTCGTGGGTTAAATAAATGACATAGTACAGGTTGAACAATCAAATATATTGGGAATATTTTGGTTACATGAAAACGAGTAACCACAGTAATGCACACCAGATAAGGACAACACAGCAACACTACTGCTTTTGCCAACTAACATTAATATTGTGATTGGCACACATATCTTATTTTTTTTAACACTTTGTGAAGGACTTTCTAAGGAAACTGGCTCGTATACACGTTGCACATGGGGGAAAACCTCGAAAATGCTCATGCAGCCAGCCCGTTCGCAGCGATTCGAACCCCGGACCAAACTACTAGTGTTCAGTGACTTTAGCGCTCGGCCGCTGATGGACTAGTCTGGAAGTATGTAAGTGGATATTATGATGTATAGGTAATAAGTAAGCAAGATATATACATATAACTTCAGTCAAATCGTAATTTGTATAATGTCATATCACAGTTCGCTTAAATTATAGCTTCTAATCTGCATGAAATGAAAACAAATCTTGAACAGTCTTAATGGAGATTTCATATTGTGTAATTTAGATTTTATACCACAGTTTCTTATGTTCAAAAAATATTACAACTTAATATATTTACTACTTTATTTTTCCTAAAATTATAGATATTTTGTTTTTTAACTGTGTTAACCAGATATACAAGTAGAAAACTTGATTTTTGAAACTTAACACTCAGATGAGTAGAAATATGATTAAAATACAGAGTACTCTCGATTATCCGGACAGGTCATCGATAACTGAAAAACATGGATAGTCCAATCTATTGACTTGCATGCATATTGTACGTGTTTTTTACTTAAAAATCAGCAATTTTACTTTGTTCTTGAGAACGTTTAAATAGGTTTTGAATTTTGCTGCATCTTTTTTGCAGTGCTATTTTTACTGTATTGAATCCCCTTTGGTCGATGAAAAAGTTTCCACAGAAGGCATTTCAGTCTTGGGGCTAGAGTAATTATCAGTATCTTCTTCATTCGTATCTTCAGTGTCACTCTCTCCCTCTTCTATTCTTGATATTTAAAACGATATCCGCTTCAATCAAGCACTGAAAGCCCGGCTCAGTTAAATCACCACTGAACCACTTTTAGACGTTTTCCCCGATCTTCATTTTTTCTAAGAATTTTATATTTACGATTTTTTGGCATAAAACTTCAGTTACTGCCTTGATTTTTTTACAATTAGATAAATCTCTGATTTCTATATTAGCAATATTCTTTCTCCACAATCAAGCCAGTGTTTTTGGTTTAGTTTAGTTTTATTATTGTAAAGCAAACTTTCTGCGAAAGGGGAGGGATGCCTATCAGGGACTTATGGGAAACTGACTCGTATACACGTTACACATGGTCAAACCAGTGTTGCTAGTGCAAGTTTCGATCAAGCTTTTGCTACACTATATATGGCATCCAAAACAGCCAATAATGTCTTCAACTAGGCACATGCGGAATGTATTGTGTGAAGTAATCGTTGAAATGAAACCTAAAGATCCAAGCAGTTCTTAGAGCTTGCTCAGACTTGTGCATGTTTGTTTCTTACACACTTACGTGCATAGCATTGAGAGTCGAGGACTAATCCACATCTAGACAATCGAGAGTACATTATATTTAAATCATAATTAATTATCATATATATAATTAAGACAACAATCTAAGTTTAAAGAAAATTTATTTCCTAGATTTTTAACTACAAAATCTCTAATACATAATACATTTCAGTTTTTCATCAAAATACAATTAGATTTACATCAAAATATGTACCACAAATATAAATTTATTTCTTATCTAACAAAGAGCTTTTAATTTACAGACAGGTTTAGAGACATTCTCTCTTCTACAGCAGGAAAAAAAAATCGGTTAATTTGTATTTAAAATACATGCAAAAATAGTAATTACAGCAACTTAAAACACTCACTTCATGTCAACATTAAAAAAAAATTAAATATAATTCAACTCACTTAAATACACATTCAGAATGTCGAAATTCAATGTACAATAGAAAGCAGAATAAAGGAAAATTTAACATTTGAAACTTAAGGCAGAAAAGAATATTTTTTATTACCTACACCCTCTATCTTAGTTTAGCAAACTACACACAAAATGAGGAAAAATAGAAACTCATGGACAATGCAAATATACAGCTAAATACTGTGAACAGAAAGTGTTCGAGAACAAAATTACAGAATATATGCTTTTTGGAGTAATATGAAGAATATGGAAAACAACCATATATACACAATTTCAGACTGTATCTGCAGGTCATGTATTGGTTGGAGAGAAAGGTCACTTAAGACTGTTATTGAATCTTATGAAGATATTTCTACCCCTTTTAGGTAGTAAGTGGTATTTGATATTACATTCTAACTCGCATAAAAAATATACTGGTTTGTACTCAGAAACAGTGAACATACATGTGAAAGAATGGCTGGAAAACTTGTATACACATATCAAAACAATTTAAATTTTGACACTCTTATCAATTATGGTTTTTAATACATATTTCCCAGCATCATCACTTGCTTGATATATTATCAATCTAATGTGAAAACTGTGGATGCAATAAAATTACATATTTAGCAATTTCTAAAGAATAAAATATATTAAAATAAAAATTTAAATATTAGTAGTTAAAAATCTAAATACTGATTAGCTTATAATTCTTACATATCTTAAGTATGTTATTCTTACGAATTCTTCTATAGCAGTCTTTTTTTTAAAACAAACGGGCAACAGAAAATTTAAATAATCCAATTATTTCCACAAAACAAAATTCTTAAAATATTTTTTTATAATAATAATAATTTTGCTTTTTTAGGATAAAAGCATTTAATTGCTTTTTGATATAAAGTTAAAAACCCCACTTTTTTTGTGTGTGTTACTGCAAAGAATTGAAGAAATTTCATTGTATGTTAATTACCAAATTTCACAAAAATTATAGTAGAATGAAAAGACAGCTTTCTTCTAAAGGATGATTACCACATATTTTGCTGGCTAAATTTTACATTTTAGGAATATGATACATAAAATAACTCTATAAAAAATGAATAGCTATTTAGTTTTAAATCACAATCACTTAAAAATCCTGTTTTCAAACAGCAAGAAATTAAGAAAAAGGATTCTAATTACAAAAGACTAAATGCTTATAAACAAGAAAAACACCAATAAGATTGGAAAAAGATCTAAGAAAATGCTAACATTTATCACAAATTGTACAGCATGGAATTATGGATTATATTATTCATGTAGGAACATTACAATAGAAAGGCATTTACACATATATTTTATTATAAATGCATAGACATCTCAATTTAAAATAATTTAATGAATATTTATTTCCTTTATAAAATAGTTATAGAGACTACTATGAAAATAGTGTGCTAAAAATATTAAGATCATTTCATAGAAAGCACAATAAATGTTATAACTTATTTAATTAGACTTGCATTGCTATATAATTTTAAATGCATTGTATGTCAAAGCACATTGATGATTGTCAGAGTGCTTATTGGAAGCTATTAAGAGGCAGTAGGAAGCTCTAGAGCTATTACATTAACTTTATATAATTGAATGACTTTTATAAGCATTCATGAATGACTGATGTAAAATTAATTTTGCCACAAGATAAAATTAAGGCAATTATTTAAGTATATAATTTTATAACAAAAGATTGTTAAGCAGTTATGTAGTTTTGGCATTTTTTTAACAATAACGTTTAAAAATAAAAAGATTAAATTATTATTTTGGCTTGGCAAGTTTCTGGATGCTGTGAGACACACAAATGCTTCTCAGTTACACACTTTTATCTTTTATATGGAATGTAATCTATACAGATGGAAAGAAAAATAATGCATTTAAATCTAATAGCTTTACTTTTTTCCTTAAATTTTACTTACTACATTAATATGAAAAAGAAATAAATAAATAAAAAAAAAATAAATAAATCAGACTGGCTTACATTTTAGACAAGTTGGAGGATATATTTAATATTACACAAAATGGTAAATCAATAATTATAAAATTCCAGTTGAAAATTTATAATGAAGGTACTAGTCACTAAGCATCAAATAAATATGCAAGAAAAAACTTTCTGTTCTTGCTTTCCCCTCTATACATGCATCAAATATCAAGATCAAATTGTACTATATGCACAAATCATATTTTCTGATGATGAAATAGCTTTTCATATATTTTGCACAGTAACTAACCTTAAAATACAAGTGCTCAGTTTTCCACCTGAATACTGGACAGAAATATCTCAAATCAGTTCAGGTTTCACGTTATAGACTTTGTATAACTATTTACAAAAGAAGTGACTTTAAATGGCAGTTTCTGCTACGACTTAGAGTCAACTGTTTGGGCACAAACTCGTGCATGAACACGAAGAAATTCCGGCTGATCTGGAGCTTCCAGTTTCTTTGATTCCAACTCTTCTTGCTGAAAAACGAGAAAATGCATAAATAAAACACAAGGAGTTATAAAATATATGTAACATAAAATACACAGATGTTTAGCTGATACTTTAATACTTAAAAATGTTTGATGTATCAATAATTAAAACTTTTTGTGTGCAAATTTTCCTCGTCTCTGCATTAAAGTTAAATTTTACTTATTCAGACAAGGAAGTTTAATATGATATGATATTCTATTCTTCGGCAGGAAAATTCTTCCTGTAGAACTGACAAAATCAGGACTGGATTTAGATTTGAGGAGATGCTAAGTTATTTGAGATAGGGGGCCCTTTATGAGGGATATATATAAGTCAATTTTTTTTTATATGGAATATGGTACAATTTCTGAAGGTGGTCCCAAGAAAGTGGAGGCCCTAAGCTATTGCTTGTGCAGCTTATATGAAATTTTGCACAATTTAAATCCCAGCCACTCCTAAACTGACCTTAAAATGCAGTATTACCAAAAGATTTTTAGAAACAAGCTGCTTTCGAGAGCAAAATATCAGTTTTAAGTACAAAAGACATTGCGATTAGAATAAAAATAGTATTGTACGTTAAATACAAATCTATTTTCCAAAATAAGTATCATAATTGATGCCTGAATTTTGTTCCAGAATATTTGTCTTTTTTGTAAAAAGATAACTAAAAAAAAAAAAAAAAAAAAAGATTTTATCATAATTACACGGTTTTTTTTTCCAGCATGGTTAAATATTATATGTTTAAGCATGATGTAGCATCATGTTAAATTTGGTATAACAGTAAAGTTACCGATCACTAGTAGTTTCACCTGCATTCGATTCCAAGCAAACGGCCTGGTTGCAAGGGTATTTTCATAGATTTTCCAATGTGTAATGTGAAAATAAACCAGTTTCCCTTTCAAAGTCCTCCATGAAGGCATTACTGCCCTTAGGCAGATAGCCCTTGTGTGCTTTGCCATAAACAAATTAACCAAACCATGTGTAAATTTTCTACATAACAGATTTGAGCTAATGCTTATCAAAACAGAAAAGATAAAACATAAATGTTTAAACTGAGTTCTTTCTTTTTCTTTAAATTAGTAAATGGCCGTTAAAACCAGCAATATTAAATTTGTAAGAAACACAAAAAATGTACAGGAGAAAAATCAAAACCGTATTATATACAAAAACAATAAAACATGCTCTTAAAACGGAACATAACTGGATAATTAGGAAGCATCAACAAATTTTAGTATATTTACAATCGAATTCAGATGATTTTTCAATCTAACAACAGCCACAACTGATGATAATTTTCAATAGTCAAATTGACAATCATTAATCGTTTGACTGTATTATGCTTTATTGCTTACTTAAATAACTTATGAGGAATGATTTCGTTATTATTAAAGAGCATAAAAAAATTCACAGAATTAAGCAATACAACACAGATAGGTATAATCATGTCTGAAGATACTTTTCATGTCAATAAAGGCAAGAATTATGATGAAATCTAAATTATACATGAACTTACAAGGAACTGCAATTTATTAAAAGTATTATTTATAAAAATATTCAGTACTAATATTGAATAAAAGTCTGTACTTTATGGTCACTTTTTATTTACATCATTTTCAATTTGAAAAATTATGACTTTTTTATTTTTGAATCTAAATTTTAGATTCATACTGTGTGTATTATTTTATACATATGTATGCACACTGAAATGTGCATATATGAATAATCAAGTACATATATACACAGAAAAATTTGAAAATGTAAAAGTGCATTTGTTTAGCATAAAGTTAAATATAAATATTACTTTCACATATTTAAATCATTTTAGGGGAATGAAATACCCAAACAGTCAAACTGTTATTTTTTTGCTTTAAAAATGGAGAAGAAACATTGAAAATATATGTACCTGCTTTAGTTTATTAGCTTGTTCTTCAAGCTTCTTTTCCAATGCAGATTTTTTCTGAAGTTTTTCTTCTTCCAATTCCTTTTTCTTCTGATCATCACGAAATTTGTCAAATGCTTTGTGAAGTTCTGTTTTTTGACCAATGACACTTTTGCCACTATAACAGAGATTTAGAAATAATCCAAAAATAATTAAACTGCAGATGCATAGTTAATATACTGAGCAAGAAAATCACAGTTTATTTTTTAAGCTTTCTTATTAGTGACCTTTTACATCAATGAAAACAGAAAATGCAATAAACACACAATAGATTAAGATCCTGAAGCACTGAGGCCTGAATTAAAAATTAATATTCTTCATAAGAATTAATTTATTAGCTCAAGTTTATGGATTTTGCATTAATATAGGAATAGGGAAATACAAAGAATTATGTTATATAGCTTTTACTAATTAATTTAAATATTTTTATAGTAATTTACTCATGCAATGTTGCTTTGCTATCAAAAATACTTCTTTTTTCGTACAGCTTTTTGCATACATTGAACAAATAAATATCTGAATGCAATGATTACACTCAAAAATTGATTTGCTGGACAAGGTGGTTGGTTATTGAAATACTTAAAACTACATGATGGCTCTCTGGCATATAAATGCCTTCATGCTGCACTTCTTCAGTGAAACTAGCTTACATATTGGCTCAAGTTACATATCGGGAAAACCAACCACGTAGCCAGCTCATTCCCCTGGATTTTAACTCAGTATGAACTAACAGCATTCAGTGGTCTTGACCATTTGACCACTGGTGGGGCTCAATTCACTATAAAAAAATTTTATTTAAAAAGTTCCATGTCTAAAATGGAAAGAATTTCACTCCCTTATTTCTACTGATAGAAAATTTCCTAGAATTCAGATATTAATATTAATTCAGCAACATTCACATTTCCTTGAAAATACTCTTTTAATGTGATACAATTTAACTAACAAATGCACAAAACAATTTTCAATTTTTAACAGTTCCAGAAATTAAAATTCAGTGGTTGCTTACCCAAAGTATAGAAGCTAACAGTTCTGTAATATATAGTAGGTAAGTATGTATACTTTTACATAAATGCACATGCGCATATGTAAGAGCAATTACTCAAAAACTTTTCCATAAATTTATTCCCTTACAAATATTCTTAATACGTTATGCATTCATTACCTTATTGTCTAGTAATATATCACAGTAATAATCATAAATAATTTAATATGAAAAATGAGACATAAATAATACTAACAATAAATAAAACAAAAAAAAATTGAAACATTCAGCAAATACTTAAATACAGATGCAATTGCACAAGATATATAAATAATTTTGTTCAAGTTAATGCATATGATAGTAAGCCAATAAAACAAAATGGTCAAATACATGTATCCTTTCAATAAATATGTTAGATAGCAAATACCTAAATTATTATGCATCATTTAGAACAAATTTACATAATACAGAAATACGAGATTTTTTTTACTGAACAATGAGGTTATACATGTATTTATTCTTTAAGATCTGCAGAAAATTTTAGGAACTAAAATTGCTGCATGATTCTCAGCAGAAATTACTGATTCCTAAAATTACTGACAATACATACTGATAGTCATGCAGCAGAATCTAGGATTTGCTGCATGACTTTTACAGCATGTTTACTATAAAAGTTTTTTATTATTTATATATTCCTCAGTAAAATTTCTTCAAGGAATTTAGATGCAATATTTTATGTTCAATCAGCATTAATTATGCATGCTGATTAAAGTAATATTTAAATCACATTTAAATATTACTTATGCATGTATTGCATCATGGGACACCTTGTATATTATTACACAATATATACATATACCATATTTATTACACATCATATACGTATACCATATTTATTATACATCATATACATATACCATATTTATTATACATCATATACATATACCATATTTATTATACATCATATACATATACCATATTTATTATACATCATATACATATACCATATTTATTATACATCATATACATATACTATATGTATACATACAAGCATACATACAAAAGTATTTTATGGTAGAACAATGTTCATTTCCTATACAATATTCACACAATCAATATCAAAAGGCTTACATTTTTTGATTAAAGAGCAACTCCCTGTGAAGATTTTGTCTTTCGGAAGACTCCAGACATGGATTTTGAGGTTTCTTAGGAATCACAAGTCCGTCTTCGGAGAAGCGCGCTCCGTTTGTTGAACAAACACGTGAGCTCCTTTTTCCGTCGGATTCGTCTAAATCTCCGTAATCTGGTTCTGGAATCATACCTGAAATTTAAAATTATGCATTACAGTAATATCCAAACTACAGCAAAGAGTATCTTTCTCTCACATCATAAAATTTACCGATAAATGTATTAAAAAAAGGGAAAATTTTGCACAAAAAATTAATATTTCATTTTAAGAGGTGATTTATAAATCAAACAAATTATACAATTATTACAAAATAGGCTCTTCAAGGCCATTTTTCGCAACTATGGTAACGACAGCTGCCGAAGACGATCGTATCCCTTAATTTTTGCTCCCACTTAATTTCCGGTTAGCGCGTTTCGCTCGGATTAAAGTTTCAAATGAGGTGGAGAAAATAAGTACAATGTGAACTACAAGCATTAGGATCGTAAACGAGTCGGAAAGACCTTGAAACGCCTATTTTAATGTAACAGACTCTGGTAACGATATGTTTTTCCGTGATATTATCCATATATTAGAAAATCTAAATGAAACTGCATGCAGTAGGTATACTAGATCCGCGACTTCTCAAACGTGAAAGAAAGAACTATTAGTCGCTTTACGGAAATACCGGAGCACACAAAAAATTACGCAATGATTACAACAAAATGCATAAAGGATTACGAGAAAAACACGCGAAGGATTTCGCAAATATTCGTTTATTTAATTTAAATTAAATGAATATAAGAAATGGGAAATAGAGTTCCTCAGTTCACAGATGCTAATAAAAATAGACCGAGGGCCAACTAATTATACAAAGCAAACACGTTGTTACTGCCTTGCTACACTATCTGTATTTATGCAGCATTACAAGTAAATATTTAAATAAGTTATTCTAATAATCCATAATCATACATATTTATCTGCTTGTTGGTAGAGAGAAATACGTCATTGCCAGAAACTGTTCGGCAAAATCACGAACAGTAAGAGAAACGCCAACAGAATTTATTCAGTATGCTAATTATTAAATATTCGATCCGAGATTTTATACGCAGGTCTTTGTTTCTTGCTATTTAAAGGTCTAAGTCCTTACTTTGTTACATGCGGCACTAGTTACTGTAAAAATAAGACAATAGAAAAATTATTTTTTCGTAGGAAAAGCAATTTATCAACGTATCATTTAATCATTAGTACCTGAATAAGCTAATCGATAAATGCCATGATTAGTCCATTTCTCATTGGATATTTGAATTGCTTAGATAATTAATTACATCGGTATCCATATTTATACCCGTGCATATAGGTTCCTAATAGATGGAATGCACACATGATAGTTTAAAATAAAATTTATTTTTACCAGAAGAAACACTTCATAGTTCTGGAACTTCCCATAAAAGCACTCATAGAGTTGTTCTCTGAGTCAGTAATTACATTACAAACTACTAAGAACATTAAACACAATGCAATGCAATGCAAAGCGCATCTAAAAACGTGAAAGTCTTACGAATATCTCAATACTCCGAAGTCCCTTTGAACTAACAACTGAAACCAGTTCTCCGATTATGCTACATATGTGCTTAATATTAAATCTAATCAACGTAGTAATCGCCATATTATTTGTGCAGTATTGTCAGCTATCAGGCAGTAGTGACTTGTTTTCCTACGATGGAGATTTCGATGTATCAGCAATTCTGCAACAACAGATAGCAAAATCACTGTTTTTAGAGAATTGCATTTAAATGGGCTCCGGATACAATACCAAACAAAACGGCTCGCTGTATGGCGGTTTTTTTTTTTTTTTTTCCCATGTAATGTGGACACAAGCCAGCTTCACTTACAAAATCCTCCATGAAGGCATTCCCTGCCCTTAGGCGGATAGTCCTATCATGCTTTAACAAAATAAAGCAAGCATTTACATGCTTAGCAAGTACTTGATTTCGAGAAAAATCGAGGCAGTAATTTAGTTTAATAATTCTCATTTTTATCTCATCGAATATGTATTTCTTGCTTTTAACACGGTAAAAGCACTAAAAAGGAAAAACGCTGAATTAAAAAACACGAAATACAGATTCATCACTTTAGCATGCAGCCAAAGATATATAATTAAAGATGATGATGATGTTCGCAGAATTTGGAAACCACTTTATAACAGTATATTCTCTGAGTAACTACTGTCATAAAAATGAAACTTTTTTTTACATGAAGCAAAAATTAATAAACAATAATTTCGTATAAGTTATACCATAAATATATACAATACTAGGGAAAATGCAACGGGGGTTTTGAGCTATACTTCAAAAAAGCAAAAAGCTTCAAAATGTATGTTCACCCCCCCCCCAAAAAAAAATATTTCAAAGGCCACGTATTCTTCTTTTTCACTTCATCCCTTTTCCCGAGTAATCCATATTTAAGATAATGTTTGCAAAAGTCTGAAAATTATATTACGAATCCCACTCGATTAAAATTCTCATGTATACGGCGGTTCGAGAAAAAGACAAGTAAACAAATTACATGTAGATGAAATATATTGAGTAATAAAATTTCATGAATTCCTTTAAAAATTTGAAGCTAGAAATCATTTTTCCATCCGCTCAAGAGAAAAAAGTCAAAGAAATAATTTTAAAAAACTGAAAGCTTTCATATTTTACATTACGCCCAAAGGTGCATTTTTTAACGTTTTGTGTGTTACCTTTATTTATTAAATATCATGTTTTTCGCACTTAAACCATAAAATTCAATTCAACAGCAATATCAAGAAATATTTAAAAAGAGCATATCTTTAGGATTTCCGATACACAGTCTCTTGCGCTGGAAATAATTTATTATTTTTTTTTTTTTTCAGTCTTGCCATTGCTCGCTTTAAAATCGTTGAGTTTGTTAATCACAAATTCGTTAAAGTTTTACAAAACATGAAACAGGTAATAAAACAAATTCCAAATTCGGGCTTCCAGATGCCCATATTCGAGTGGAGGACTACGTTATTCAAAATTTGATGTCTCTGGGTACCGCTGTTTTTTCCCAGTTGCGAGAAACACACATACATTCATGCACTTCATCATTTAATTTCTTTAAATGTAATGCAGAGCTCTAATAACAGTTTGAAAGTGAAACGTCGTTTTATAGTGGAGGACGGAAAATGCCCAGTTGCGAGAAACACACATACATTCATGCACTTCATCATTTAATTTCTTTAAATGTAATGCAGAGCTCTAATAACAGTTTGAAAGTGAAACGTCGTTTTATAGTGGAGGACGGAAAATGCCAAATCGAATTCAATAGCTCTTCTGGGCAAACTGTCCCTTTGGGCTAAAAATTCTTCATTTAAATTAGTGAGTATATACATTGGTTGATTAATTGATTAAAATAAAATAAACAATTTGCCAAAGGGATTGCTTCATAGAAGATTTTGAAATCCAAAACTCACTCATTCATTATCTATGAGAAAAATCAAGAAAATCCTAATGCAGCAAGCTCATTCCCAGGTATTTGAGCCCCTGTCAAATTGTCAATGTTCAGTGGTCTTTTTCCACTCTGTCATGGGTACACCCTCCTTTAAACTGAATTTAATAATATTAAATATAAGCTGCGGTGTCTTGAAGTAAATCATAATATAATACAGGGTATCATTTCGTGTTCGGATCTTCGCTTAGTTGTTGAAAATAGTATAATTTTCGGATGAGAAACTCCGGTGATTTGCGAATTTAACTGTTGAAAATAAATCCAGGATCTCTTTCATTATAACGAACGCGCATCAGATTTTCCTAGTAAACCCTTTCTCCCAATTTGGTATCTTCAGCGAGGACACATATTTTTGCCATCCGCTCATTTCGATTGAGATGCACTCACAGGATAGTTATTTCAAAGAACAAAGAACGAAATAGAGTGCTAGAAACATACATACATTTATGGAGATTTTTCATTATTTAATTTCTTTAAATATAATTCAGGACTCTAACATTTGGTGGCAACAGTTTGAAAAGTGAAACGGGCATTTATAGCAAACGAATGCAAAACAAAAACAATAGTCCTTCAGAGACAAAGCCCCTTTGGACTAATAAAATAAAATAAAATAAATAAATATTACATTATAACAAAATTACGATGAAATAAGCAATATCCCCTAATACAAATATTAATTATCCTAATAAATAAATTAACCAACTTCCCGTTGCCTTCTCTCAACGTCCAGTGTCCAAGAGAAACATTAAATTTAAAAACTGCACTGAATTATCGCCCTCGTTTTTCCAAGTAGCAACAGTGCTGGTTTTCAACAGTCAGAAGTCCAGTATACAATTGAATGAAAAACCATTGCCAAAACCACATTTCTAAAAGAGTGTGTGTATGATAATCGCAAAGCAGCCAGCCCGTTTGGGGAATTCGAACCTCGGACCGAACTACCAGTGTTCAGCGACTTTACCGCTCGGCCGCTGGTGGGCCCCATTTCTAAAAGAATGAAACTATTAAAAATGATGCGATAAAATCGAAAAGATAAGATTAAAAAAAATCCCATTCGAATTTTGAAAAAATTGTTCCGAGGTGCACTGGCTCTTGTCTAGATGCACCTATGTACCAAATTTCGTAGCCGTGGGTCTATTAGCTTACGCGCAGAGCAAACGAAAGACACACACACACACACACACACAGACTCTTTCTTTTATTATATGTAGAGATACAGATTTGTTTGTTAATGAATTAAAAAATAACTTAATTAACTTATTCTACTTTACTTAAATTCTGTATTAGTCATAGGTAGAATAGACTATTCAATTTAGGCAAACACACAAAAAGCCTTATGCCTAAATTTAACACAGTTTTAACCAAGAGATCCTCGGGTAACATATTCCAAGAGTCTCGGACTCCTTTTCTAATCAGGAATAACAGCTTGATAGATTTTAATTGCCCTCATGGCAGGATTTCTCAAACTATGCTTTGTGTATCGCTGATGGTACGTTAAATTTGTCTTGGTGGTACAATTTTTATACAAATTTATTTGAATGTAAAATGTCGCCCCCTTTTGATATATATATTGCTACACGTGTTTTTTATTCTTATTTATATGGTACAAAATTTAAAAAGTTTGAGTTATCGCTGTTCCTATC